TATAAATCTTCAAATATTAAATATATTTATTTAATTGTAAGTTAATATGTAAAATTTTGTGTAATTACATTTTAATTTAAATGTATCAAGTTGGTATATCATGCTTAATGAGATGACTAATAATATATTATTAATTTAATAATATTTTTTTATAAGAAAATAAAAAAATAAAAAATAATTTTTATGTAAAAAACAAAATAAAGATATAAGAATAAACAATAAAATATATAAATCAAAAATAAATAAAAAAAGAAATAAACAAGAAAAAATAAACTATGTAAAATTTGTAATTTATAAATATTAAACAGTTATAATTATACAACTGTATCAGATTTTAAAAATTATAAACAATATTAAATAAAAATAATTCTACTATTTTTTTATTTATTTTTTAATTTTTTTTAAGTAACTTTTTTGGTCTTTTGATTTTTATTAATAACTTTTTTGGCAATATAGTTCTTATGAACTATTATAGGAAGAGTGTACAATTAGTTATATATATAACTTTTTTGTATTATCTATTTAAGAAGTTTGCCTAAGAGTTTATTAACAATTATCATATTTAACACTTCTGCTTAGGTGTTTTATTTTAAACTCTCTGAACCTGCATCTGTGTTAATATTATAGGTTATGCTTAGGTCATCATTTCAATCTTAAAATTATTTTATCTTCAAGATAAATCTTCCAAAGTCTTCTGTATTTATTTTTATAACTAATCTAAATATTGCTATAGTAAAACTAACAATTGTAATTAAAGTTATATTATTTAATTATCATGTCTTTGTAGAGTTTACTCAAACCTTAGTATCTATTTTACAATATATTTTTAGTATTTTAGTATACTTCTGCCTTTTATTAGACTCCTAATTTAGATAGTTTATATAGGACTATAATCAGTCTATTAATATATCAAGTCAGTCTAATATCTTTTTCTTCTAGTTTGTTCTGATGATCTAGTTGATAATATATTCAAGACTTTTAATCCAAAGGTTCTTGTTTGTTTGGATACTATGACATTGGTATTTTTTTCAGTAATCTAATCTTTACAGTAGTGCTATTAAAGATTTGTATTATTTTTCTATTTTGGTCTTTTCAAATAAATTTTTTGTTTTCTAATTTCAACAGATTTATATGATTATAAGAACTTATTTAATGTTTATACTACCTGATGCTAGTATGTATTCTTTTATGTAATCAGTTATACAGATGATCTATAATTGTCAGTTATGCTAGTATAACTATTATTACAAATATTTTAAACTAATTGTTAGAAACAGTTGTCATAATATAAGATTATATAAATGATTATCCAAATTTTTATTGTTGATGAAATTTGAATACTCAACCTATTACTTGGAAGGTTGACAACTTATTTATTTTACTAAATTATTATATCCACTATTTTTTTATTTAATTAGATTATTTAACAAAAAAACTATATAAAAAAAAAAACTTTAACTTAGTTAAAAGGATTAGTATAGAATATTGGTTAGTCTAAAGGCAGTATTAACAGATTTCTAGTAGCTCAAAACATGTATATAATTATGTTTGTATTATTGTATTATTTTTAATCTTTATCATTAACAAATCTATTTAAAAATAAATATTATTAATTATTTTAATAATTTTACATATCAATCTTTAGAAATAAGTAAGTTAAATTATCCACTTTTTATAAAATTTTTCTTTAAAAAAAAGTAAAAATGAGAGATGAATCAACTTTGTAACTTTTATGAGTTTTTGATATTTCTTATAGATTTTACAATTGTATAGAATTAATATATCTAACTTTGTTGTTTACTTAATAAAAAAACTTAACTTTCACTAATTATTTTTTCTATAATTCTAAAATGCTTTTAAACTGTTATCACAAAACTATAATTTCTTTTTTAACTCTATTTCAATATTTAACTATATGTATACAGTACTTCAAAAAAACTTTCATAAAATTTAATATATTAATTATATTATTTTTCTATAGTTTGGTTTTTTGAAAAGTTTAATTCAGATGATTATTATTATTATTATTATTATTATGTATTATTAGTTATTATGACAATTCTTTAATAAAATAATTAAATTATAATAAAATAAATGATTTTATTGATCAACTCAAATATTTTTTGAAACTAATCAATGATTTATAAAATAAATTTATAAATTTAGATATTGTGTATATGTATTTTGATTTGTTAATTAAAGAGTATTCAGATTTAGAGAACTAATTAGAAAAGAATATATCAATTATCTATTATCTTATCTTCGAAAAGACTGTAATTAAGATCTTGTATAAACATGAAACTATATTAATATTAAAGAAAAAAGAAATCTTCAATCATTTAATAATGAAAGAAGAACCTATAATAATGAAAGAACATGTTGCAAAGAAATGCAAATTAGAAGAATTAAAATATATAAGCATAAATATTATTTCTTCTACATCTAATGTCATAAAATGTTTATTTCATTTAACATTCTGTTGCTAAGAATGAATAGCAAAATGTGATCAATTGAAGATGATTACCAAATTAAAAAAACAACTTTCTATATGTATGTAGTTGCAATTAATGGCAAATTTACTATACCGGTATTTTTTTACGGCAATGGATTTTTTTTATTGTAACGGTATTTTTTACTGTAATGTTATTGTAAAGTTTATGTAAAACTTCGTATCGTGGCAAATTTATAGTGTAAGCAAATTTTGCAATTGTTAATTATTAATTGGGTACAATAACAATTACAATCAATTATAATTGCGTAATAATTGGGTTGCAATTAATTTTTCGGTAGGCCTGTTACAATATATAGTCCACATGATTATTTGTTACAAACATACCTAATTTAAATAACAGACCAGCATTTTTTAAAGGATAGTACGTACAAAAAATGTGCGAACATAGAGAATGGCTTGACAATGCTATCAGAAACAATCAAATCATTAAATATGATTATAATACGTTTAATGAAATAAGGCTCATCGGACACGGGTCATTCGGAAGAGTTTCTAGCGCTATATCCTCCAAATTTAAAGGCGAAGTAGCCTTAAAATCTGTTAAAATTAATCAAGATTTTACGATAGAATTATTAGTTAACGAGGTTCGTGAATAGATTAGACAGTCGGCTCTGAATATAGTGAAACCTTTATAATGAACATAATTTATTTTCTCAGTATATAAAACTTATTATATAACGAACTTTTGAAAATTTTTACTATAAGAACTACTGTAAAAGTGCATATACAAGACCCAGGTCTTGTACATTTCGCTAATTTTAAAACCTTTAATAGACCCGGGGTCTGTTGTATAGGCATTGATCTGATTATCAGTAAGACTTTTATGTGGGGGACCCGGGTCTTCTAATTATTGTTTCCTATAATATACCCGGGTCTATTTATATTACCAAAAATTTTATCTATATTATAGCCCCGGGTCTGATTCACGGTGAGTCTTGTATATGCACTTTTACGGTATCTGTTCGTTAAGGGGTTGACTGTTCTAATATTGAAAAAATTTGTAATTAAAATACTGATGATCTTTTACAGCTTAGACAACACCTTCGTATTGGTTCACATAATAATATTTTAGAATTCTATGGAATTATTGAAGATGGTAATAAAAATACAAGTATTTTTAATAAATATATCTTATCACATTACTAATATTTTTAATATATTCTTCAGAACCAGGCATATTTATACTCGTTCTTGAATATGCAAATAATGGTACTCTTAAAGAATATTTATGCAAGAATTTTTGTGTACTAAACTGGGATGATAAACTTGACCTTGCAAGGCAATTAGTAGATGCTATAAAGTTTTTGCATTCGCATGATATAATTCATAGGGATCTGGTAACTTATAACTCAGTTTTTAATTTTAATCCTAATCCATTAATTTATTTTATATATTATATTTTCTTTTAGCATTCTGATAATGTGCTTATCCACAATAAAATTGTAAAGCTTAGCGATTTTGGCAATTCAAAATTTATTGCAGATCCATCAATTCAATTAACAAAGGCAATTGGAGCAATACGTTACTCAGATCCGCAATTTCTTAGAAATTATTCAAATTATAGTCGAACTAAGAAATCGGATATCTATAGTTTAGGTGTACTCTTATGGGAGATATCAAGCGGTAGAGTGCCATTTAAATTTGACGACCATACCTTTGTATGTTTATATGTTATTTTTGGATTAAAAGAAAAACCAATTCATGGAACACCAAAGGATTATGTAAAAATTTATGAAGGTAATAAACTTTAACTTATATTTTATTTCTCTAGTAAATAAAAATAAAATAATTTTATAAATATTAGAATGTTGGAAATCGATGCCAGACCAACGACCAAATATTGAAGAGATTACATCTAATTTTGCGAATATTAATATAGATAATGTAATATCTATTGAGGATGAAATTGATGATAAACCAGATATGACCAGTGTTCTTAAAGGACTAGCTAATCGTAATGGGATTAATATTCAAGGACTAGCTAATGGGGTTAATCTTCAAGAACTAACTAATGAAAGTGATCTTCAAGGACTAGCTAATGGGGTTAATCTTAGAGAACTAATTAATGGAAATGATCTTCAAGGACTAACTAATGGAGTTGATGCTGATTCTGAAATTTTCCATGAATTATATGAGGTTTTAAGTTCATCATCAAGTTCAGCATCAAATATTAATAAGAGTTCAAGTTTGGCATCAAACATTAACGGAGACTTATCAGACATTGATAAAGAACCTATTACGAAGATCGATTCAAAAACTCTTGAATACATAGACAACAATATCAAAGACTCTGATAAGCAGTTTTTGAAACAATTAGTGCAACTTTTTTTAAATTATATAAATATTTCTGAAGAACCTAAATTGCTCGTTAATCAAATTAATACTTTAATTAAAGATTATGACAAAAATCCAGATAAAATATTTAAAATATTATTAAAGCACCAAGGACAGCCAACATTTGCATATTTAATTGGTTTTTTCTATGATCATGGTATTGGTGTTAAGGTTAATAAACAAAAGGCTTCTAAGATGTATGAACAAGCCAAAACATATAGAAGTAACATTCAAAATCAATCGCCACTATACAAGATTACAAAATCTATGGAGGCTTTTGCATACAATGTTTTTGGAAATATTTATAAAAATGGAGTTGGAATCACTAAAAATAATGAAAAGGCATTCCATTTATATATGAAATCTGCAAACAATGGAAATCACCATGCGCAAAACCATGTTGGATATTGTTACCAAAATGGAATTGGAACTTCAATAAATAAGAAAGAAGCATTTAAATGGTACAAGAAGTCTGCAGAAAACGGAAATCACCATGCACAAAACAATGTTGGATATTGTTACCAAAATGGAATTGGAACTTTAATAAATGAGAAAGAAGCATTTAAATGGTACAAGAAGTCTGCAGAAAATGGAAATTCACGCGGCCAAAATAATCTTGGATATTATTATCAATATGTAATCGGAGCTACAAACAATGAGACAGAAGCATTTAAATGGTACAAGAAATCTGCAGAAAATGGAAATTCAAATGGTCAAAATAGACTTGGATGTTGTTATTTATATGGAATTGGAACTACAATAAATGAGAAAGAAGCATTTAAATGGTGCAAGAAGTCTGCAGAAAATGGAAATTCACATGGTCAAAATAGACTTGGATGTTGTTATCTATATGGAATTGGAACTGCAATAAATGAGAAAGAAGCATTTAAATGGTACAGGAAGTCTGCTAAACAAGGTAATATTGATGGACAGAATAATCTTAAAATTTGTTATGAAAATGGTGTTGGTACTATAAAAAATGAACAAAAGGCATTACAGTGGGACATAAATGCTGCTGAAGAAGAAAAAGAGAACTTATTTGAGTGGTACATGAATTCTGCTAAAAATAAAAATCCCAAAGGACAAAATGAACTTGGATATTGTTATCTGCACGGAATTGGAACTATTAAAAACGAGCAAGAAGCATTTCATTGGTATAAAGAATCTGCAAACGGGGGCGATTCAGACGGACAGAATAATCTTGGGTACTGTTATGAAAATGGGATTGGCACAATCAAAGACGAGCAAAAAGCATTTCATTGGTACAAAAAGTCTGCAGAAAATGGAAATTCTAGTGGACTACTTAATCTTGCCAATTGCTATGAAAATGGAATAGGTGTGACAAAGGATGAGAAGAAAGCTTCTCGATTAAATACTGAAATTATTTCTTTTCAACAGTAAACAGTAAACTAAATGAAAAGACAGTGAAAACGACATATAAATATAACCAAAATAAGAATATTTTTGAATGAGATTTTATTATAAAGTTTTTCAACCTATCTTCAATAAGTTATAATAACACCAAGCTTTTACACATGTGACCGAAACTAGTTCAGCATATTTAAACTGTAATAATTTCGATAAATTCGACCATACGTATTCTTTACATAAATATAAGAATAATCATCAAACGAATACCAGTAATGAGGAACAGTGTGTTTATGTATAATAATAAATGGTGATAGTGTATGGTATAATTAATTATCTTTTACTATCCTTACTAAAAAACATTAAATAAAAATTTTTTTTAACCACAAGTATATTTTTAAAAATTGGTATCAAGCATACAAAATTTAAAATCTATTGACGTATAACTTATATAATCAAGTAGAAAGTTATGAATGATTTGTATAATTACCAGGGCACAAAATTAGAAACCAGTCATAATTGCATCAGAACAACAATCTATGCTTAACTCGAAAAATATTGTTTCCGTTACTACTGTTACGTTATAATGACTACTTTCAAATGTAATGATGTCATAATGATCTTTTGAATGGAAATGTTTGTTTGTAATGATGACCTAAAATGCCAAGTTAGAAAAGTTAAATAAAGCCACGATAAATATATAAGGATCCCAGAAAGTAAAAGAAACCGCAAGATATTATATTTTTTTATTATAAGTTTACACGACGATTTTTAGAGATTTACACGATGTGTTCAAAAGAAGAGCTACCTAAAAGCCTTTCGGATGTTTCGAATATCCCGAAGCAAGAATTACAAGAGCAACCTGGTTCGTACATCGTATAATTCAGTCGTTTAGACGACTTCTTTTATTAAAAGTTATTCTGAACACGTTAAAAATATCATCTAATCTAAATAAAATTTCAAAAAGGTGTGCAACATGAAATGAAACCCCAACCTCTTGTCCATCATTTGCCTGCCGACGACGAACATCTCGAAGAATACCAGGCAGCTGGAAAATTAAAATCTAAAATTGCTCTTATTACCGGAGGTGATTCTGGAATTGGTCGATCAATAGCGGCCTTATTTTCACTCGAAGGTTGTGCAGGAATAGCAATCGTGCATTTACCACGTGAAGAAAAAGATGCACAAGAAACTAAACAAAGGATTGAGAAACAGTCGAGCACCCAGGTGGAATTGATTTCTAAGGATGTTGGATATGAAGAAAACGCGATTGAAATCATTGATCATGTGGTTAAAAAATGGGGTAGAATTGACGTGTTAGTAAATAATGCTTCGGAACAACATGTGGGTGGAAATATTCAGGATCTTAGCGCAGAGCAGCTTGAGAGAACTTTTAGGTGAGTGAATGTTAACATATCTTTATATACACATGTATATTTTGATTTGCACTAATACACAAGTATTTCAAATTTTTAAAGGACAAATATTTTTGGAATGATTTTTCTTACTAAGCACGCAATTAAGCATATGAAGAAGGGAAGGTACACTATGATCCTTAAAAAAATACTTTTTTTGAAAGGCATAAATTTTGAGTTACTAATAAATTGTTAGTTCCATTATCAATACGACCTCAGTGACCGCCTATAAAGGTCATCCTTTGTTGCTTGACTATTCCGCCACAAAGGTACCTTATCGACTATGTAATTTCAACCATGTTTTTATATATCTCACGTTTTCTGTTATCTATAGGCGAGCATCGTTGGCTTCACTAGGTATGATTATTCATCTAATGTCAATTTTCTCCCTTTGCGCTAATATTTACTGGCAATAATAGATCACTTAGCCTTCAGTTGGTTTGTAAAGGAATTCGCGTTAATGCTGTTGCTCCAGGTACTTCGCAGTATATTTGTGACATATAATTTGCAATGGTGCGTTCACTACATTTTAATATATACATGCTACCCATAGGACCGATTTGGACACCTTTGATCACAGCGAGTTTCCCTCCTGAAATGATGGAGCAATTTGGAAAAGAAACACCTTTTGGTCGAGCAGGTCAACCTTCAGGTATGAGAATATCTTGCATGTTTGATTGCTTTCTTGTGAATTTGTTTTGATGCGTAAAAAAAAATCTCTTTTACAGAAGTAGCACCTTGTTACGTTTTTCTCGCTAGTAATGATTCTAGTTATATGTCTGGTCAGGTAAATTAGTTCTACACCTATTTAAATTTGTAAAATAAATTAGAATTAACATTAATATGATCATTCTCTTATACATAGGTTCTCCATCCTAATGGGGGTAAGCCATAATTATTTATCTTATTTTTATTTGATTTGATGTTTAATGGATACTTAATATATATATATATATATATATATATTTCATTCACAGGAACTGTTGTTAACGGATGAATTTGTTCTAGTAGCTGTTTTTTCAACAAAAAAAAACAAACTTTTTTTAATTTGACAGACTAAATTTGCAAAAAATGCTTTTATGAAATAGGAAATATACGAGCTAATTTGAAATAAAAATTTGTTGTTATATCATTTGTTAAAAAAATAATTTTATTATTCACTGCTTAAAATTCCTAAGGCTATTTATACCATTTCCTTTAAAGTATTTATAAAAACTAAATGCACAGACTTTATTATCTGGAGTGAGGTGATGGACTTATAAAGAACCATAAAAGTACACTAATCGAGAATTCTTCTAACGTGATTCTCGCACATAATCATTAAATATTCAATTTCAACATTTCCAGTTAGAGAATGAAATTATGATTTGTGTATTAGAACTTGATTTATTCATCGAGAGTCTCTAAACTCTGTAAATTACCATTCCTACGTTTTTGTTAGCACCGTTCTTGTATTTTCGTGTTTTCCACTTTTCGTTAAAATTTAAACTTTACAATTTAATCATTTTAATATGCCAAGGGTTCGCGCAAATAAATGAGATGTGTATCAGAAAAATAGCACTTAAAATTTTTGCGGTCACGAAGCTACCCGTGTAACATAAATCTTCTGATGACGCTTGAGCATAACAATGAATGGTCCTTTTTTAAATCTTATGAAATATCCATTATCAAAATATTGTGAATTGGCCGTTATATTTGGGTTAAACATTCTTGAATATTTTGGGCTAGGAATGTTATGAACTAAGAAATCTTCAATACTGCGAACTTGGAATGTAGTATTTTTGGTTGTAGTTAAAGTCCGAATTTTGTAACATAGTTAGTTATATTTCTTCTACAGTATCCAGAACTTGAATAAATAAATTTGGCAATTCATATAGATATCATACCGTTCATACGAGTCTTATGAACGTTATAATTGAATGCATCTTAATTTGTCATACGTAACATATCAAGAAAATGTTTAGAAGTCTATCAAACTTGATTATACGTATAAACATTTAAAGCTTGATTGGAAGATTAGCACTATCAGTTCCTGTCTCTATATATTATAATAACCATTATCATGAAAGAAGTTATAGTTCTAAACAAAGTGGTAAAAGAATGAAGTTTATAAGAATATAATTTATTAACAGCTATAAATATTATGATTATTAATAAACTGTTATTAGATTAGTAAATTCAAAACCCGAATTGGATTAAAAATCGGTTAATATTTAAGCCAAGCCGGTTATCTGAGCTTATTCGAGTTAATTCGCGAATTGTATTGATCGGTTCCAACCTCTGTATTAGATGTCCTGTTTATAATACGTATTTGATATATGAAAGTGCACAGTTTATTCTAAGTGTAAATTCTAACTTTTAAAAACAAAAATATTGGTTTAAATGTTAACAAACCTTTTATTTCGTAATTTAAAATTAGACAGTCGCATGTATTCAGTTTTAAATCTAATGGTGCTCATTATCAATAACTAAAATATTTAATGATATCTCAAATAAATAAAATTCGTCTATAAAATCACAAAACAGATTTAGTCTCTGAATAAGCTTTACTATTCGTTATTAAAATGATAAATGAAAAAGATAAGATTACTGTATGCAAAAACTTAACAATCTAAAGATGAATTTGCGGCAGTTATTTATAAAGGCAGTGTACGCACACACGCACTCATGTGCTATTAATTTACCGTGATTGACAAAGTCGAGGTTATGCAACATTCGGTTATGACACTTAAGCTTGTCGGCCGTGTGAAATAATAAACAGAGGTAAACAAACGCGAAGAACAATTTCAATAAGAATTTCCTGCGGCAATGAATCGAGAGAAAGCTAAGTATAAGCTCAGCTTTTGAAGTAAAAGAGAATCGAACGTGTAAATTCAAAACTATATTTTAGATTAGATAGAAAAGTAAGTTATTGCTATTTAAAGCCCATGTGCCCCTTTGGCATAACGAAAGATATAAATAAATGTGTAATTTCGCGTTGTAACAGACAGAGCCTTCAGGTTAAATAATTTATTAAATAAAGTAAAGCTGATAATTTCCTGAAGAGCTTTAATTAAACATATTCTATCACAACCTACCTTATAACAGTATGTACTCGGATACAATTTAGTGGCAAAGCAGTACATGATATTTTGACACGTTATCATTATCGTTAACAATAATGTAAAATTTTATTAATCAATTTATACGATTTATTTTTATCATCAAAGAATAACTAAATAAAGCACTTTTTTTTATGAGACCCGTGGGTAGTGTTGGCAGGCGAAACTATTTTAAACCCGGCGAAAGACGAAACTAAACCCAGCGAAAGGCGAAACTCTTAGGTTTCGCCTGCCAACACTACCCGTGGGTTCATGATTACAATGCAGGTAATTACCTAAAGTTGCCATATTTTGTAGAACTCATTTAATGAATACGTACTTCTTTATACATATATGTCAGGTTCTCACAAGACCAAATAACTCTTCGTATATTTGTTTAAATTCTAGCTCCGGGACTCAAATTTATGCTAATGTAAAAAAGCTTTAAGGGTAAATATGCGAATGATTAAAATGTTAAAAGAGGTACCTTTTAAATAAGTAACGTAAATTTAACGAATTTAGGAATTCAAAAATCATTGAATCCATCAAATCTAATAAGTTGAATAGAGCAAGTAATGAGACTAAAAATAATAAAAATTAATAACAATAACGGATTCAACTACTGGATCAATCCATAAAAGCCAATATGCGGAACTATTCAAAAGAATTTAGTACACCAAGAATTTTTTTTTATAGTGTGTTAAAGTCGTTTGACAATACGTTTGGTTATTACTGCATCAAAATGTATAACACAAAAACTCCATTAACACTTATTCATAATAATAACGATATCAAATACGTAACATGTCTCAGTAGGCTCAGACAAATGATTGGTCGATATTCTAATAGGGTTTAAGATAATTTAATGGATTTTATGCATATACATTAAATCCTTCTTACAGAGTATTGCAGAATAGTGCAGAATAGACCTTAATAAATCGAAATGATAACAATAATAATACCCTTCATCAGACCAATCAAAAAAAAAAATCAAATAAGGGGTTCAAGTCAAATTTGGTGCCTCTATTTAAGGTCCAATTCCGCCGATTGGCTTAAGGATCCCCTATTTTGTCTTATTCGTAGTCATGCGTGATAATCTAGCAATTTGATCGAAGTCTACGCAAGAATTCACATATATTGTGGTGTATCGATTACCAGCCTTACATGAATTTAACATCACCAGGAACACGGGTTCAAGGTGGTTTACTATTTGCTTTCCAAATTTCCTTAGAATTTTGTGTCCAAAATAATTCTCGAATCGAACGAACTCTGCTTTAGTTATATCATCCAAAATTTCGAAATTTGTACAAATTCTCTCATCCGATTCATCTTCATAAAACCGGATTTGTATTGTTTCTTCAAGAATTCCAATATTTGCAAAAATTATTGATTCGATTAAACCAATAAATTTGTTTAAAAACTTTGCACCCTTTTCGTGAGCCAGGTCATAGTCGAAACAGTTTACACTTGATGGAATTTGAAAATAGTCAAGTTCTACCTCTAATTCTGATTCGCTAACCATAATGTTTGTTTCATAACTTGCAAGAAAAGTGATTTAGAATATGAAAAAAAACGTATTAATATGAGTGAAACCGGTTACGGGTTAACGTCCATCTTAGGTAAACCGATTAAACACGGTTTTAACATATGAAAAATAAACCGGTTCCAAACACTACCCCATTTTTCTATATCATTTCAACAAAGTCATGATGACAATCCATCTTGCTAATAGGTCTGTTGTGTCATTTCACCGACAATTATTTCACTGACAGCACCAACTTTGACTCTAACGACAATGACCAGAATTATTTTGTCGGTAAAATGACTGTCGATGAAATAAACTGTCAGTGAAATGAACGGATCCATAATTGGTCATGTCGGATAAATAGTGTTTAGGAAGGTGGATTTCGGGAAGTGAGCAATAACGGTGAAAGCCTGTAACTGATCATAGTAAATCTTTAAGTACAGTCACAGGTTTTCACTCTTCGACACTACTAAAAACAAAAAAAACCCTAGATTCTTACTGAATTTTGCCAGTTCGATAAAATGTCATTATATAACGAAATGCATTCCCGTTGCGATCAAAGAAATATTCGTTTTCGTTAGTTGGATGTAATAGTTCTTCATTTCGTGAGCTGAACATTACTCCAAGTAAAGTTTCTGGATATTTTGTCAGCGTCGAACGATAAGTTTCGTACTATATTTTATTGATTTGTTAATATTGAACTAACAATGTAAAAATACGTATACATTTCCTTCTACCTTCACACCACCAACATTAAGAATAATTTTCTGTTCGTTGTTTTCGGTCATGTTTACAAATTATTATTACTGAAGGAAAATTATTGTTATTGCGATATTCACTCCCTCCAAAGAGCCACCAATTCCTTATTTATTGAAATTTTATTCAATATAACTGACTCGGTATAAAAAATGTCTAGTATAAGAAACTCCAAAATATAATAAGTTATAGGTATTCCTCCGAAAATAAGCTTCCAGACCCACATTACGCCAATTTGGCCTGCTAAAAGGGGCATTTACTGTCGGTATTTAAAAAAATAAATCTATTTAACCTTCAATTCTGCAATTAGAAATATCTAGAGTAAAAGAAATATTGTGACAAATAAAAAAGTTTGTAAATTTATTTGACTATTATTGTCTTTATATGATATCTACTTTGAGTTAAACCAAGAATACTATTATTATATAATTTATACGAAGCCACCTTGTGACGACCAAGGATGTCTCACGACCTATAAATCAAACTTTATATTATTTGATTTCTTGCCGAGAGGGGTCGATGATATGAAATTTTTGACTTCACTATCGCAAAAAGCATTATTCTTGACCCGACCTAAAAAAAATAATCCACATGGTTTTGACACTTAGGTGTGATATGTGATATTTATGAAGTTACGAGTTTTTTATATTGTATGCGATTAAGACAAAGTTTAAACTAGTAACGGTAATTTGCCAAAAGTATAGTTTTAATTACAAATAAATTTGGGATGTAAAAAATAATCGTGAGTTTGCAAATAAATAACGATCCGAAAATGAATTTTGATTTGCGATTTCAATATTATATGTGTCAAAGACGATGTTCGTTATTATTATTATTATGACATTTTTTTTGAGTAATGGATCAGGTGGATCAACATGTGTCGTTCAGATTAAAACAATTTATCTCAGTTGATTCAGATTAATAGACATGAATTTTGCGATTTATGGCATTTTCAAGAGAGTGTGCATTTAAAAAGTTTATATTGTCCTTAAGATCGCAGCAAATCACAAAATCACTGGCCCCTTCGTTATTTAGGATCACAGTGAGCTTATTTTTAAAATTTCTATTTGTACACGGGCAATACAAAAACCAACCGATATCTCAAAATTTTGATGATAAAACCACCTTATGGTTTTTAACAAAAAAACAAAAAAAATTTCTTGCGCAATTTTGATATAAACTATATTTCGTCCACACCCTTATACTAACCATAAGAAAGGATTTGATTTTTCGTTTGTTTGATCACATGTTACACGAATTCGTAATTCAATAAATGATACTCGTGTATAAACACTGTGTAAACTAATAACTTTTTTTTTAAATTCTTACACGAGATAATAATTAGAGAGTCCGAGGTGTCAAACAGATCGCGCATGTTGTTTTATCATTGGCTATACTAAGTTGTTACAAATAACATTTTATAGTTAGACAAGCTTTAGAAATGATTGATTTCACTATGGTATGTTTGATTGATGATGCCCGTTTATTCACCTACGCGTTACTGTATTTCGAGATGAAGGGTCAATTTTTTTGAATACTATATATGAATCCGTGAGGTGCACGTTATTTCAGAATACTCATGGCGTTATCTTGAACCAAATATGATATTTTAAGGGTGAAATCCGGACGATACTAGTTTATAAATCCCAGCGTTACCACCAATCGAGAACTACCCCAGCGTACCCAGTAAAAAAAAAATGCGTTCACGTGACTAATCGACAAAAATTGACCAATAAAATTACAATACTAATTGAAAATCGAATACTATATATCTTTAAAGTTAATCTAGCATTCAATACGCCAGACTTTTTCAACCTATTTGGAATTCTCGTTGACCCAATGCCAATAAATTTATATATTTATAAGCTATTATATAATCTTAAGCATAATTTATATTTATATTTATTTAGATAAATAAAAGCATATTTGTTTAGTAAATACACTACAGAATATTATACGTATGCAATCAATACAACTATAAAGTTTGTACTAAATAACTAAAAAAAAAAAAAAAAAAACATATTTGAATATAAAAAAAAAAACTTGGTCATCAAATCGCATAGAATAAACCCAATCCAAATACATTTAACTTTTAGATATTCTATTCATGACAATATAATTAGCAGATTACTAGTTTTCACCATTACTACTAAATTGTGTTATTTAAAAAATGTTATTTAAAATTTTTTAATCACTATTTAATAGTAAAATAAGAGGATTAAAAAATATAATTTACCTAACAATTGATGTTACCATTACTATATTAACAAAAAAAAATTAATATTTTTTATTAATTAAAATTAAAAAAATATATATAGTATATATGTATTGTAATATTGTATACCTTAACTAATTTAAAAAATGGGTATTGTGTGTGTGCTCTTTCCAAGTCTTTGGCATGGTTATTCTTTTACGATAAGTTTTAATTTGTTTTACTATTGTATTAATTGACTGAAAGTTTTTTCTATACTTTTATCCTATTTAAGATTTTTTATATCTTTGTGTTCATATAATAGATCAAGTGTTTTTTGAATTATCTCAATTAATCAGTTAAAAAAAATATCCGAATCTTTGACTTGATTATTATTTATATTAATTGTATTAAAATCTTGAACCTTTGTTTCAATTAAAAGAAGTTCATTATTATTTTCAATCTAATTATCACTATTTATATTAACTATTAAAGAAGTCAAACTAGTATTAATTAAAAATGAATATTGATTGTTTTGTTTAATCTGGTCAAAGAATTATAATAATACAATTCCCTTTTTTTGGATAAGATGTTTACAAATAAAGAATTGATTTGTAAGATAATACAGATAGTTACAGGTCTACTGTTTCATATTAGTATTATAAAGTTTATTATTGTCTTCTTTAACAATCCTGTTTGTCAATCATTTCCATTCTGATTTCATTGATTTTCACTAATCTGCTCTTATTCATTCAAATATAATTTAATCAAATTTATATCTTTGATGAAAAATTACTTTTTTCATAAGAATATAGATAACTAGATTAAGTCTTAGATGAAGAATTTATATAAAAAATCTTGTTTAATTACTTTCCAATTCGATTCTATAAACATTATTGTTTTTAATATTGAAATCTTATTTTTACAACCTGCTCTTATTCATAAGACTCATCAATCTGTGCAATACCACTCTTTCTATAAATAAATCCAAAGAAAGAGCAAAAAATTATTTTTACAAAAAAAATAGATTTTTTTTACTGCTTGTTTTCAAATTTATAAACATATTAGTGCCAAATTAAATTTTGATATTAAAGAATAAAGATGTAAATGTTTATCTATTAATTCTCAAACTGATGTATATAATTCTTTAGAACAAAACATTGTACCTTTTTGAACTAAAAATTATGGAATAAAATCTTTGTTAATAAATAGAAAATACTCATAACTATTATTATGTTTATAAGTAACTTTTTGTAAAAATTTATTTAAAATTAATCTGGTATCAATTACTTTTTTTACATTCCAATGACATAATTGAATTTTAGTATTTGGCCAAGTAAAACGTATTTCAGAAATTTGAACAAAATCTTCATCACTTAATACGAACTCAGGTATAAGTTCTTATAACTTTATCATATTAAGAAAATTTAACAATATATTAGTTTGTACTCCATTTTCAGATTTATTATTACTTTCTAAAAACAGATATGCAAGTGAATATCCTGAACTATTTACTTCTGCATATAGTACATACAATTTTAATTCTAAATTGTTTGTATTATCTATATATATAAAAAAATATATTAATATATATATCCTAATTGCAAGTAGAAAATATATATAAATAAATAAAATATATTATAAATACATGTCATATCAATTTTGCATTCATGTATATTAATGTTTAATTGTTTTAAGTAATTAAGAAAACCTGTTAAAAATCCAATTGTTTTAATTAGCATTGTTATATTTACAATAAGTTTATAATTTTCTTTTTTAATTCATATCAAAGTAGATTTAAAAGCATCTTGATGTCTGACATATCTACTACTTCCAAACACTGTCTACTAATAGTAGACTTGATTTTGTATAATCAATATATTCATACTCTTATTAATTAGATTTATATAAATATCTTATAATAATAAATCAATATTATCTTTAATATATTGTTTAATATTATCTGAAACTTCTACATTATTTGGCTTTGGATGTAACATATTATGTTCAACTACAATAGTGGCAATATGAAGCATTAAATTAATGTTTACTTTAATACAACCATTGCAATCATATTGTTTCATTAAGGTGATATTTCTTCATTTTTCTGGATTATCATATTTATAAAGTTTTTTTGCTATATTTATCTGTTAAGAACAAAAGTACCAAATACTTGTAGGTTTTTTTTTTTTTGATATTAAGATGACCTCTTTGGTCTTTTGACTTTTATTAATCATTTATCAGTATTGTGGTTCAATAAACCACTACAGAAGAGAATACAATTGGCTACACATATAACTTTTTTATATTACCTATTTAAGGAGTTTGCCCAAAGGTTCTCTACCAATTGCTATACCTAACACCCCTGCTTGGATGTTTTACTTTAAACTCTCTGAATCTGTAATCGGTGTTAACTCACTGGATCATACTCAAATGCCTAGATCATCATCTCAACCTTAGGACTAATTTATCCTTGAGATAAACCCTCTAGAGCCTTCTGTACTCATTATTACAGCTAATCTAGATATTGCTATAGCAGAACAAACACTTGTGATCAGGGCTGATCATTAAACTGCTATGCCCTTGTAGAGTTCACTTGGACCCTAGCATCTACTTCATAGCATAACCCCAGTACTTTAGTATATCTCTGCCTTTTCATCTATCTTTTTACCAAACTCTCAATTCAAATATCCCATATAGGACTATGACCAGTCTATCAGTATATCAGGTCAACCCGATATTCTTTTCCTCTGGTTCATTCTAGCAGCCTGATTAGTGGTACCCTTGAGACTTTTAACCTGAAGGTTCTTGTTCATCTGGCTACTACAACCAGGTACTATG